CCAAAGGGGTCAACATCCACAGGTTGAGAACTGCTGCTCTAAAATAAGCATGATGAAAAAACAGGAAAACTGAAATGGGATGCCATTACCTAAACCATTCATATTTTTTATCAAAGACTAGAAGCAAACCTTAAGATTATCAATCTCTCTTCTGAGTTATTTCTTCAGCATTTGAAACTTGACCACATTTGACTTTCAAATGCATACAGTTTCATAATGCTGTGAATGCCCCAGAGGTCTTCTAGTGAGTATGGAGAGGCCTGGCGAATCAGACTTTGGCAGTGTCACCTGAATAAATAGTTCATGACAGAAGGGACACGAAGTATCATTGTTGCTGAGACATTTTGAGTTTCAGTCTTTGAGTACTGTATAGTGATGACAACAGATGACAAGAAAGCATGTTGCCACAGATGTTATTGATTTTGTGGCATCATGAGCATTCTGATGCAGAGCCACAAAATTTGGCCTGTTGTCTTACTTATGGCCATTCTATGCCTAAGCAAAACCGGTGGTTGGTTCAGAAAACTTAGGGTATAAGATGAAGGTGGCCTTTGGAACATACCATTTATTATTCATTTTCATATGTCCTATTTTCTGATTTCATATAAAATCTAAAAAAAAAATATTTTCTTATTTAGAATATTACCAAAATGTTTTCTTCTGTTATCGCATATCTATATGTACAAATTTCTTTGACTCTTTCCTGAAATAACAGTGAATATTATATTGTTTAATACCATCATAATAAAATCACAAGCTTTCCTAAACATTGGCTACGTATGTTCTCAAACAATCTGAAAATTTCAATTCATGTTCATATAGCTTTCTTTTTCTATCATGGGGACAGGCCATGATATTATATGTATACTTTACATATGTACAAAATGGGTTATTAAATGACAAGTTGTTTCTGAAGAAAATTCGATACTCTTAGAATTCTAATCTTTGAAAACTGCGGAATGGTTCTATTTGTCCATATTTTGTTTCTTATTACTTATTATAATAACCATCAATCAACTCAACTCATGAACTTAGTTTCCATATTATTACTCATTGTAAACATTTGTTGACTACCTGAATGAGCCACAAAGGTAGAAAATTTTTCTCTCTAACGATCTTTGTAAATTCTGTGGATAGAAATTGCACCTTTTAGCAGCAATATTTTATGTTTTTGAATAGTGACTGCTGTCTTTTTAAAAAATGAAATAGATTTTTACCTTTTCTGTTGTACCTATTTTGGGATGTGGAAAAATCATTTGTGGAAACCAGGTTGAGGCCAAGTTCCTCATCACAGGCAGAAAATGGGATTTTGTAAGACTGTGGAGTCTGAGTTTGTTATTGCATGCAGCTGTGCAAATTTGCAAACATTTCCTCCTTTCCTTCTCTAGTCAAAACTCTGAGGAAGGATCCAGTTTGGACTGCTGCCGCAGTAGCTAACATTTATTTGTGTAAGCTGCAAAGCAGAAAACAAAGTCTATGCCTGTGCTTGTGTATGCATGTGTGTGCATATGTGTGAGTGTTTGTATGTGTGTGTGTGTGTGTTTTCATCAGATCTTTGAACCTGTTCATATATATTTACCTGAGAACTTAAATTTCAGGTAGAAAGAATACACAAGCCAATTACTTCTGATCCAATGTCATGCTAGGGACATATCACTGGTCTTTTCATTATGGTCATTCTGCTGCATTTCATAGAATCCCTAAAAAGCCTTTTAGCATGTGTTGCACACGTCTTCAGGAGGAAGGCTGGAAGGCGCAAGGATATGTTTTCAAAAAAGCACAATTATTTCACAGTGTAGTGTTGTAAGAACTGACCAATAAGAGAAAAACGGTTCCTTTTTATTTCCAATGGGAACTGGATTTGTATTTGTTTTTAGTTTATCTACTAAAACCCAGAAAGACATGGGGCATGTTCATAGATCAAGACACTCCTGAAAGTGAAGTTAACACCATTTCTACTTGCCTCCATGTACCATGTATCAGGAGAGCAGCTATCATTGTACATCAGCTCTTATGATCTTTACTAGCAGCACTCTTTCACTCATCCATGTTAGCGTCAGTTCACAGTTGAGAGGTGTCCCAAGATGTGTTGTGAATACATCCATTTCAAGCAAATATTATGGTCTTCTCATGATGATAAGCTTCTTAAATACCTAGAAACTGGCCACTATGCACACTTGGTGATTTCATACCTCTCATACCCTAGAGTGGGGAGTGGAGGGTGAGGTTGGTATTGGGTGTAGCCATGAACAGCATCTATAATATCAGGTGGGATGTGTTGAAGATCATAAAAGATCACAGTGAGTATGAAAAATATTTTAAGTGGCAATATGTCATGAATTACAGATAGATAAATACTAAACATTCTCCACATTGGGGCCTTTGGCATAGAACACTTTTGTATAATACAAAAAAAAAAAGTAAGATCAATACTACTTCCAACTGTGTAGCAATCCCTTTGTTATGAATAGTCACTTCTGACTGTGAGTATTAAAAAAAAATATGTATGCCTGGTATGGGAAGATGGCTCGGTTGGTAAAGTGCTTGCCATTTGAACCTGAGTTTAAGTACACAATACCCACATTAAAAAAGGCATGATTATTGTGTATCTGGATCTAGCCCTAAGTAGATGGAGACAGGTGGGTCCCTGGAGATTGCTGGCCAGTTATTCTTTTTTGTTTTGTTTTTATTTACTTTTATTTTTAATAATTACAGTTTATTCACTTTGTATCCCAGCTGTATATCCCTCCTCCATCTTCTACTAATCCCACCCTCCCTCTTCTTCTCCCCCCTTTCCCTCTGACCCTTGTCTATCAGGTCTCATCAGGACTGGCTGCATTGTCTTCCTCTGTGGACTGGTAAGGCTGCTCCCCCCTCAGGTGGAGGTGATCAAAGAGCAGGCCAATCAGTTCATGTCAGAGATAGTCCCTGCTTCCATTATTAGGGGACCCACTTGGACACTGAGCTGCCATGGGCTACATCTGTGCAGGAGCTCTAGGTTATCTCCATGCATGGTCCTTGGTTGGACTATTAACATCACAAAAGAATCCTGGGCCCAGATTTTTTTGGTTCTGTTGCTCTCCTTGTGGAGCTCTTGTCCCTTCCAGGTCTTTCTATCTTTCATAGGATTCCCTGCCCTCAGCTGGGTAGAGTCTTTCAGAGGCCCTCTGTGATAAGAATTGGTAACTCCAGGGCTCCTATGGAAGTGTTGAGGAAAAGATGGAGGAATCTGAAGGGGACAGAAACCTCAGAAAAAGACCAACAGAGAAAACTAACCCATTCCCATGGGAGCTTTCAGAGACTGAGACAGCAAATAGGGAGCATGTAAGATCTGGACCTAGGTCCTCTGCACACATGTAGCCAACAAGTGGCTTGGTGTTCATATGAGGTGTCTGGAGAGTGGAGGGTTGGTGCCTGTTTCTAACATGGACTCTATTGCCTGCTTTGGATTACTTCTCCCCTGGCATCGCTGCCTTGCCTGGCTTCAAAGGATGAAGATATACTCAGTCCTGATGTTCAGGGGAAGGTTAATAAGGGATCCCCTTTTCTGGGGGGAGGGAGGGAGAGTGGACTAGGGAAAGAGGGGACTGTTAGGAGGGGAGGGTGAAGTCACCCTTAGGATGTAAAGTAAATAAACATGTGTGTGAATGAATTGGTAAGCTTCCAGTTTAGTGAGAGACCTTGTATCTAAAAATATTAATGTGAAGAGCAGTAGATGAAGACATCGCCTTTTTGCCTACAGATGCATGAATACACACACACACACACACATATATGCACGCATTTGAACATGTACAAACACATGCACCATACACACACACACACACACACACACACATATGCACACATGGGCACACACACCCCTGCAAATGATTGCATCTAGCAGAGATTGAATTTAGGAGCCATTGTGAGACTTCTAAAAGTGAGAGCAGGTGTGTTTCTGACTCCTTTGCCTCTCTAAGGGTTAGTTTCCTATATTGGGTTGCTTTGTCTAGCCTTAATATGAGAGCTTTTACCTTGTCTGATTATATATTGTTTTGCCATATTTGGTTGTTGTATCTTGAAAACTTGCTTTTATCTGAAGGGAAATGGGAGGGGGAATAGATCTGGGGTAGTGGGGATATGAGGGTGAGCTGGGAGAAGTGGAGTGAAGGGAAACTGTGGTTGAGATGTATTGTATGAGAGAAAAAAATCTATTTTCAATAAAAGCAAGACTCAAAGAAAGATGTCAGTACATTTTATAGATGAGAAAGTTGAGACACAAAGAACCTGAGAGTTTGTCCAACTTTCCGCAGCTATGGTCATAATTTTAAACAGCTCTGCTTGTGAAGTCTGAATACCCACAACCATAGTCACAACACTGGAAACCATCTTTGAAGTTGTGTGGACACTGCAAATGGCCCCAGAGCATACAAGTTCCACACCCAAATTCAGGATTTATGTGTTTCATGCTATTGAGGTAAATTAATGTTTGAGATATCTTTAACTCATAAGAAGAAGATAAGTACTTAATCCCACAGTGTTTCTCCCCTTTCTCCCTATCTCCGAATTTACTTTTTCTTTTACATTAAAGGACAAGGATATTTGTAAGAGTGATTTATTGATTTTGGTTTTATAAATAAAGAAGGCAGATATTATTTACTGTGGTAACTGTTTGGGGGCCAAAATGACTGTTGTTTTCATGTTCTTTATCCCTCACCACTCTCTTCCACAATCCCCAACTATTACTGATCTTTTTGAAGTACCAGGTGTTTTATAGGACTCTCTTGTGGACTCTTCAGAGCATGCATTTGTTACTAAGTAAACTTCAGGTAATGACCACTACTGATAAGTCTCTAGACATTTTTAAGGAGATGGAGTTAGAAAACAAATCTCTCCAAAGGAAAAACTTCAAATAACAAGAACTTCACAACCACAGTAAGCAGATGAGAATTTTATTAAAGCAATAACGAATACTACAACATGCCATTATTGTTGGAAACATAGGAGAGTGGTTGAAATTATTTTTCTGTTGTGCTTTCCATGTTAAGCTGTTAAGATAAGTAGAACATCAGATTACTTTTAAAATCAACACAATTATTTGTTATTTCACATAACTTTTAAAGTTTGATGCCAAAACTATTCTATTACAAACAAAGAAATGAATTTCTTTCAATTCCAGATTTGCCTGTTTTGAAAAGGAACTAGAAGAGAGACCATTGAAGAGTACATGGTTTGACAAAAGAAAGAAAAAGAATCCTCTAGTTCTTAGGAAAATCTCTTTTAAGAGTATGATGACTGGTATGCCTAGCAAGTAAATTTTCATAGTGAATTGCAAGTTTTAACCGGTCAATCTGTTTTGTGTCATCTTCAGTTTCAAATTGTAGTATTAATAAATATGCTTTTTCTGCCTCAGAGAGTAAAGTATAGAAGAACACTAATAAAACCCACAGTTCTATTAGCAGTTTCTTAGATCTGTGTTGCCCAATAGGGTAATCATTTGCCTAGTATGGGTCCTAAGCACTTTGAGTATATCAACTACGGCCAAGAGACTGAGGTTTAAATTGTATTCCTTTTAAAAATCATTTAAATGTCAATGCCAACCCATGATGAATGTGTTGGAAGTCACGGTTATAAAAATCTAATTACCACTTAATATATATCTCTAGTTTAAAACATTCTATTGCACTGTAATCCTATGTATGTACATTTTTATTTAGGCAGTATGGCAACCATTACTATGTTTGATAAATGATAGTTACTTCCAGATTTTTAAAAAATATCCATCTTCAATATTTGCTAATAAGGTGGATATTTGTAGAAATACATGTTGAAATTATTTTATTAGGTTATATCTTCCATTTTCTTTTCTAATACGTGAACTATGTCTATTTTTATTAATTAAAATCATTATTTATTGAAGTTGAACTCTTCAATATGTTACTGACCCAATATTAAAAGAATACAAGAATAAAATTCATAGAGCCCCAACAGTAACATTTGTGAGGTTCGTGTAAGCATTGGTTTAGTCATTTATTGAAAAAGTTATTTTAAATCCTCAAATTTTAAAGCTGTACCCCATAAATATTATAATATGCCTTGTCAACTCCATGCTCTTTGGAGCCAATTCACCTCCAATAGAATTTAAGCAGTGTTAGCCTTAAATGTAGACATTGGAGTAGACATATTTGAATTAGTAAGAGGATTTAAAATGCATGCTTGTTAACTTAAAGCATTGAAAAAACAAAATTTCTACATACCGGATGCCTTGAATTGCCCTGGTACCACTTCATAGGGGAAAACACCTTAAGAGAAAGAGACATTAGAGTGCAGTTGATTTAATTTAGTTTCATATAAACAAAATACTAAACTCACTAATGCAGTATGAAATATATACTCACTAATGCAGTCCTGTCAGTATTGATAGCCTGAGAATGTGACTTCTACAAAAGAAAGAAGCTAAATACATATCCAAATGCTCCTATGTCAAGTATGGTGTTACTAACAATCCAGCACATTTTGCAAGTTGTTGTCCATGATCTGGGGCAAGTATGAATGCCCTCGTCTTTTAGAGATAGCCATGAAGATTTAGAGTCAATTTATGCAAGAGGGCTACAAAATGGTTATTCTGCTTAAGCTCCACAGCCCATGCTTCTCATTGAAATAGCAAAGCATGTAGCTGTAAACGGTCCCAGGGATAGGTAATTTCAGGACACAATGATTCCACCAAGATCCTCAGATCTTATTTTTCTACTTCCAACTTTTGATCACAAGACAGCAGACATAGCTCCATGAATCACAACTTCAAACAAATGATGAAAAGACCAGCACTTTTCTCTAGAGTGTGTCTATACATCCTTTAATAAAAGAGAAACCTAATCCCTAAGATTTCTTTCTCTCCCAGGAAACTTGCCTTTTGTCCTCATTCTATATTCATGATCCACCATAACCTAACCCTTAACTAATAACAGATAAGCAGGACTGTAACTGATAACATAGTTGATGTAGGTGAATGGACCTTCACTTGCTGGATAGTAGAGAGGACAAAAATCTCTCCATACTAGGTAAAAGGTTACATGCTGGGATCAGTTGCTGCCCTGCCATTGAGGAATGAGTTGTGAGCAAGCTGATGAACAGCTACTAATAGTAACTGCTGTGTGCCATAGACTTTTGACTGTACTTCTGCCGTAGGATTAGTGCCATTTGAGCATCCTTTACTGTTGATGGATAGCTTATTTCATCCCTTATATAGATTCTATAACCATAAAGATAAGGAATTACTGTTTTTACTATCACATACAGCAGTACCTAGTCTACTGAGTGCTTGAGAAATATTTACGCAGTTGATTAAAAGTGGCCTGTGCGCGTTGATTCAATGCTTTCTTACCTTTCTTATTGCATTTTAGTTCTTTAAAATCAAGTTATTTGTTTGCATATTGATACTTTCCCAGTAAAACTATGTTTATTCATTCCAGAAAATGATTAAGGGACCTTAATCATGAAGGTACTGGAATAAAGATACTGAGAATGCTGTGTAATATAAACCCTGCAAAGACTGTTTACAATTTTGTGTGGGTGTAAGAGAAAAAATGATTCAAATATAAATATGAGTGGGAAAGAAAACTTGTTTTGAGTCCATTTTATGCATCTGTTAACGTTTCAAAGACCATGCGGTAGACTTCATCAGCTTAAAGATTATGAAGTGAAAGAAATTACTTGTGTATAAGATCACTGCAATTTTCTGTTTGAAGCTCCATTATTTTTTTCTTAGGAAAAATAATTACTTTAATAATTTCAAGTTCATTGGATTACTATATATCTATATCTATAGATAGATATTACACAAATTCACTGAAAATTTCTGTTGAATGAGATCAAAAGACCAGATTTTGATTACTGATGTGGTGTGAAGAATAGCGCTAGAGTTCCAAGTCTTAACTTGGTTTAGAATATAAATATTTCTTAAAGTTTATCTTTTTCAATGTAAAGATTTTTTTTTCTAAACTTGCCTTCATTTGGTTCACATTCAGTGACTATCCATGCTTACCTTTTTTTTTAAAACTCTCTTAGCTATTGTTAATGATGTACAAATTTCTATTTTAAGAAAAGATTTGAGATAATATAAAGGTTCTCTGAGAAGACATATAGTCATGATTTGCCTGCTAAATGGTCAATTTGTAGGAGCAAATGACCAGTCCCTATAAGACTCATAAATATTCACTTATAAGTTCTTCTCTCAAGTGATAGGAAATTTTAAATTTAATTCAACACAAAGACATGAATGATTTTTAAAACATTTTATTATCTGCTAATGATACTTATTTTTAGTTACAGAATTTACTAAGTGATTGTAGGCACAAATCATTGTGTTCTTGAGTTATTCCTAAAAACAACCAAAGTATCCACTTCGGTTCTCTCATTTTCTGAATTTTTTAATCCTGAAAAAATATAGCAAAAGGAACAATTAACATAATTTACAAACATTCCTAGTGAATACCATTTACAATAATAAGTTATGGCTTCAGTTTTTTCAAAACAACGTACAAACATTGACTTTGATTCTGTAATTTCTGAACTTTCTTGTCATTAAATAGAAGTATCTTGTGATCAAGGCATTAAGACATATTTAATGATATAATAGTAGCTGCCATCTTGCATCAAGTCTTGCCTGCTATAATCTCATTACTTTAATTCATTTTCCATAAGGAAACTCTAGGCAATCATCATTAATTTTACTCTGAGTTTAAGCAGGAGGGTACTGAGCTTAAGAAGTTCAAACTACCTGCCCAAAGTCATCTTTCCACAAATAATTTTGGCAAGATAAAAACACATGGTCAAATCTACGGTGTTAATCATTACTAAATACACAAATAAACCCATGTTGCATGCAAACAGAGAGCATGTACCTTAGTTTAGGATAATCAGTGATAGCTACCAGGTTATTCAATTTCAATCAGTTTTCAAAATTTCTGCCTCATTTTTACAAACAGGCTTACAATTGTGAAGACATGCATGACAGTATGTAAGGAAACTTTGGCATTACTATACAGAGTTAAAAGTTATCTGTTTTTTCCCCATCTTAAAGAGGAAAAACATCCCCCAAAATGGAAGTAACTTGGTATTTTACTACCTCCTTTTTAATGGAAAAACTAGGGCTAGAACCTAGGTGTCCTGACTCCCAAGCTAGTCATGCCTGCCTCACTTTCCTTTGATTCTTAGTAACAAATCATTAATAGCATCTATAAATTGGGATCACATTTCGGTGCACATGCACAGTATAATGAAATCATTTCATATATGTATTTTATGTGTGTGCAGCATAAGGATCATTTTATTCACTATTCTCATTTGTTGTAAGAGTTTTCTATACTACTGGAATATTTAATGCAAAATTCTGAGATGCTCTTGTTAAACAATTTATGGAGCCCCAGTACTAAAGCAGAACCTAACACTCTTGTTAATTTAGCCACTTTCAAGTTGAATGACCACTTTAGACAGGCAATCTTCCTTTATGTCTTGAAATATAGTTCTTATCTACCTCTTTCATCTTGTTCAAATATCTGTCCTTCTTGCTCTTAAAAAATTACTCCTTTTATATTCTTCCTGCAGTTTTAGTCTATTACAACCACTCAAAGCTTTGAAATATTTAAAAAAATGATATTCACTGTTCTGTTACTTTAAAAATGGGTACATTTCAATAATACATATTCTGGTGAGAATATTCAAATATTAGAATTTAAATATACCACAGAACCCATGGTGTTGATTACTAAGTTGTGTCAACAAATACATTTGTAAAACTAAAAATGTTACAATGTATGCTTAGACTAAGAAAAGCAAAGACCTATGGTGTCTGCAACTCTGGGCTCTGATTTGTTAGAACTCTGGGGCTAATTATCTTAAATCACTTTTCTAGGATTTGTCTTTTGCTGGCTTCAAGGTATACTCACCACTTCTTCCCGCTTGGTCTTGTCTGTCGCTGGCCAAGCTTCCAGAGGCAGCTCAGGAAGAATGGGGGACAGGGGCTGCATGGAGAACAGTGGAGGCAGAGGTGGCTGTGGTGCCAGGGGCTGCATGGGGTGCAGAGGTGACTGGGGCTGCATGGGCTGATGAGACTGGGGTGGAATGGCCTGGGGCTGGAAGGGCTGCTGGAAGGGCTGCTGGGCAGATGGAGGGATGTTTGGCTGGTGGTGTTGGGTTGGAGTCATGGAGTGGTGGCCAGGAACTGGCATCATTGGTTGCTGGGGGGCCACGGGCTGTTGAGCTGGCACCACTGGGAGGTGGTGATGAGGCTGAAGGGTGTGACTCGGGGAAGGATGCTGTTGAGACAGCACAGGGATGATTTGGTGGTGCAGCCATCCACCCATGGGTTCGTAACCATAGGAAGGATACTGGTGAGAAACAAAGAGTCAGGTTTACCATTGGCTCAGTTGATTTCTAACTGGAGAAGTAGCAGTAGTGTTTGTTATTATGACCATATGAATATTTTAGTCATTTTTCCCTTTGCAAGAATTTCTAACAGTGTACACAGATATGACCTTTTACAAACTAAAATTCCCATTAGTGTTTGTAGGTGGAGTAGACAAGATATTTCAGTTAAAGGGGGGAATTAAAATGCATGCTTATTCTCTTAAGGAAATAAAGAACAAAATGTCTACATACCGGCTGCCTTATCATGCTCTGGTACCACTTCAAAGGGGTAAGCACCTTAAGAGAAAGAGACATTAGAATGTATTTGATTCAGTTTAATTACATATGAACTAAATACTAAACTCACTAATGCAGTATGAAATATAGACTCACTAATGCAGTCCTGTCAGTATTGATAGCCTGAGAATGTGACTTCTACAAAAGAAAGAAGAAGGTAAACATTTGTTGGATGTTTCCTATGTGTCAGGTACTGTGTTAAATCCATCCCATACACTTTTCATGTTTTCTTACATGATCTGAGGCAGGTATCACCCTCACTTTCATAAGTAATGTTATGAAAACTCAGGTAGGTTCATTCACTCAGCTGAACTTTACAAAAGCAATAATTCAATTTAACTCCAAAGCTCATGCTCTTCATTGAAAGAGCAAAACAAACAATTTAAAACTTATGACACAATAATGTGATATAATATCCAATTAATTATTTCTTAATTGATATCACAATGAGAAAAGGAGGTAGAAACATTGTCTTTCATCCTTAAGTATTAAATTTCTTGGTCAAATACTAATATATAAACCTTTTAAGATAAAACAGTAAATTTTGCCTCAGATTTCCTACTAACATTTTTCTTCAGTTTATATGAGTTAACAGACTCAGACTTTTATCTGAACCCAGGCGATAAGTAAAGAGTTTTATTATTTTCTGGACAGTATAGTCTTATTAATTAGTCTCAGATAGCGTTTTCATACAGTACATTATTTAATCAACACAACAAAAAAAACTATTAACCTCACTCGAGTTATGAGTGACATCGAACTTTTCATGCTCTTTTTAACTCTTTGTATATTATTTTTTGGAATGTAGTTATCATTTTTCTTTCTCTAGATGAGGAAACTAAAGTTCCAAAGGGAAAAAATGGATTTTCCCAAGGTCATATAGATTGCAGTCGTTTGAAGACAACCCCAAGCCACGTTTCTAGAATTCTTCTGCTTTCCTTCACTCTGCAGAGACTCTTGAAAACCATTTGTTATTAATCACTTATCATAGCCAAAGAGAAATACACACCGTGTGTGTGCATGTCGTCAAATCAGCAATTTTTCCTGCTAGAAAAGATTTTAACATCTTACTTACTCCTTGAATTTTATAGGCTGGCATAGAACAAGACTGCTGAAGCCGAGTTCAGTCTCTGCCCTATCATGGAGCCCTCCTGAGTGGTAGTTCGTGGTGGATACATTTATAACTAGGCTTAAAAATAGAGGTTGAGTCAGAGTGACCAGGTAGGAGGGTGCTGGGAAATGCATGCTTGAGGCCATCAGTCAGAGCTTAAAGCTGCTGGTGGGAATTGAAAAAGTGTGACCATTTGAGAAACATCTTGAATGAAGTATCAATACACCACTCTTTATAGATCTAAGAGAATGTTTAACTCAAATTATGGTCGAAATTAGTATATAAAAAAATTACCTCATAGCTTAAGTTGATATAACCAGGGCTTCCAGGATGAGGTGGTAGCTATTTTAGAAATGAGAGGAAACAAGTTGAAAGAGAGAAGGAGAGGGAGAGGGAGAAAGTGGGAGAGAAAGAAAAAAGATTAAGTCAATATGTAGTTGTTCACATTAAGGGTGTCTAAAGCTATTTTAAATATACATACATAGTACAGAATGCATTTAAGGTCTACTTTTAGTCTGAGCATGTATGTTGTGGAGGAGGAGCCTTCTCATTTTAAAGAGGCTCTGAATAGCTAAGCAACTTTCCCGTGGGCCATTGTCTTCTAGTGGGAGACCTAGATGCAGAAAGCAGCATACATTTGCTCTTCATAGATCTTTGAATTAAAACCATCTACCATTTAAGGATTCCACCCCTTTCCACCCACCCATTTACATGTTGATCAAACTCCTTCTGTGTTAGGAAAAGAGTTATGCTTTTGTTACACTATTTAAAAATACCAACAAGCCAGGAATTGTATCACAGATGGTCCCTTTATAGATTAGCTGCTTAAATGTTCAAGTATCAAAGAGATTCTTATTGATTAACATGTAATGTAAAAAAATAACACACCAACTCTATTGTTCAATGTAAGAACAATATGAGAGCAATAAAATATATACATTCTAAATCCATTCTCTGGACAAAAATAAAATGATTTGTTGAAGTTCAAGGCCAACCCTTTTATTACTGTATTAATGATTTATTGTAGAAATTTAGAAGTTCCATATCAAAAGCAACCTGGACAATTTTCTAAACCAGTATTCTCTGTGCTTCCCAAAGTAGGGGCCTGACTAATGCCTACATTATGGACTTACTGATGCCCCAACCTCAGGAGGAGGGGCAGGAGACAGAAAGTTGCGTGCATGAAGCAGAAAACCTCTTCAGTCACAAAGCTGCTTAAGGGTCAGTTTTCAAAATGCTCATGCTTTGCAATTGGATTTTATTCACTCTCATCTGAATGTAAATTAACATGAGTTAGGCAGTTGTCTTCCCAATACTGTCTGGTTATAAATTCACTGAGAGTGGAGTACTGAAAAAAATTGATTTTGTAAATGTCAGAGCACTCCAGAGGACTAGGAATCATCAAAATGCAGAATTTCAGGAACACAGAGCACAAAAATCTTGGTCCTGTGTGTGATAGAAGAGGGACTGGTATACAAGCTTACTGGCTTCTAGCAATATCAACTGATCTTTATAACACCAAAGAGCTTTGCTGGCATGTGACCTAAGCTTTCTGCCACTGTGTATCTGTGTCTAGACCGTGGCCCAGAATTGGTGATTTTTGGTACAGATATCATACTGTGTTTACATGCTGTCAAATGTATTTGGCATAGGCAGGCTTCCAGAAGCTTGCTAATGCCAAATCCTACCTAAGGAGTAAGCAGATCCACCAACAGGAGAGGGCTTCAGAGAACAGTGAAGTGGTACAAAAAGGGAATTTCTAATGTAGAAATATCACCTCCTTAAGACTAACAACAGTGGTATCTGGAGGGCAAGGAGACATTTTGAAACTTGTGAGGAATTGAGCTTTTGAGATTTTCTTTTCTTTTCTTTTTGATTGTTGTATTTGCCTAGGGCTGAAAGAGCACTTTCCCTGGAAGCCTTTCAAGGTTTCCTTCAAATATATAACTCCTTGGAAAGATGGGCAGTGTAGTGTACAAGCTAATTGTTACAGGAAAGTCTTCTGGGGGTAAAATGTTTGTTAAAATAAAGCCCCACATCAGCTGTACTAAATTACAATTTATGGTGGAGATATTCATGATTTTCTTTTTAACAAGCTCCTTAAGGGTTTTTTCAATACATAGGCACTTGGGGATATCAGATTTTGTACTATATTACACCATGAAAATTGCCAGCCATGGGTGCAGATTTATATTTTCAAGCTTTTGAAATCTGATACAATAAAAATAGGGATGTTTTACTCACGGGCATAGCAAAAGCTGCTCCCAGGAGGCAGGCAAACAAAATCCAGGTACCCATTTCTTGATGGTTCTGAAATGTAAATCAACATCAGCCATTTAAAAAATATCTTTTGTAAGCATGAATATAATTATTTTCCAAACATGTATATATTCCCCATTAGTGTCTTGCTAATAAGAAAGGTGAGGCCCTTCCTGGTAAATTGACTTCATTCCAGTTTCAATTTGGGATTTCCAGTTTTCAATTCATATCATTGCTCCTGGAGACCTAATAGTGCTAAAAAAGAGGCTTTTCGATGAAACTGCTGGTTAACAAGTTACAGGAACACAATGATCTGCCATGATGATTTTGCAAACCATTTTTCTGTACCTATATAGTCTGTAGGCTCATAGGAGCTAAATGGGATCTATAAGTAATGATTAAAAGAATAAGGTTGGGTATAAAATTTGAGGAGATAATCAAAGTGAACATAAATTTATACTTTTGTAACAAAAAGAGACAGAAGTGCTGTTCTTTTGGGCACAGCTCATTTAAGCATTGCTACTGTTAAAAGTATGAACTAATTATTTAAGAAAAAATATTGAGTAATTTTCCAGTATAGATTAATGGAAAAGTGTGTGTGAAGCAAAAGATACGGCTAAACAAAGGGAGGGAACAATGTTACAATTCTCTACTTGTTGAATGGTTCCCTCTTAAGCCAGTAGCATCTTCTTTCTGTTTATCAGCTACACTGTAATTCTTCTACATATAAAGTCCCTGAGACATGAAGCAATAACTGGCCGCCCTACAAAATGCACACTGTTTTATGATAATACCTTGAAATATATAGAGAACATGAATGTAACATGTAATGGTGCTAGCTATGAAAAGTACATTGAGGCTTTCTACATTCCAACAAGTTAATAAGAAAAAAAATCTATACTTGACACCATTAAACAAGATTTTGTAAAGAAGGATGCCTCAGCCTGTTAAAATATAATCTTAATTAAGAAGCAAATAAACATTCTGGTATGAAATCTGGCTCTCAAAAGGCTTTGGAATGCTTGACCTAAAATTTATAGAAGTGGACACAAGTACATTACTATACTATAAAGTTAAAATTCATGTCAGTGATCTGAGACTATAATTTAATTACCATAAAACTGAAGAAGTACATACGGTGTGAATGGCAGAGAGCACTAAAACTGTGCACACTCTCAAAACATGAAATCCAGAAAAAAGATAACAATAAAGACGGTGAATTCAGAATGAAATCTACATACCTTTGAATGAGCTCTGAGTTACTTTCTGTCTGAAGCTCAGGGATGCTTGATCCGTTGGTTTCTTCCAACTCTGTGCCCCAATTTATACTATGCAGGGTTTCTGGAACAGCCAATCAGGGTTCCGAACGAAAAATGTGTTGAGTCTAAGGAAAAAATCCCTGTATCATGATTTTTTTAGATGCTGCGAGCACTGTTAAGGCGGCACGTTGTGATTACTGCATATGGTTGGTCATTACAGGCAATAATAGGTTTAGGAGGCTGTCTTCAAGTCAGCAAATGAGGTGACTACATATGCTGATATATTCGGATTCATTTTTAAGAAAGTGCGTTGCCATTGTCTGCTTCTCAGTTCTAGCAGTTAGCATTATCTTTTTTTTTTTTTTTTTGAAAAGTGAATGGTCAAGCTTCTCCAGTGTACTCAAAACAGCCACTTATTGTTCTTCTCCAGACTTTTCATACCAGGATGCATAGATTCAAATCCCATTCTGGCAAAAATCTGAAGCTCTCCCCAAATTCCACAATCACCAGTGTTCTTTCTCTGCTTTTATCAGAAGTATTTTATCTGTCCTGTGTCCTCTGTCACCACTGTGATATCCACAACAAAGGCCTCTTCTAGAAAACTACCTGCCATGCAAGCAGCTGTGACATCGAGACTATTACAACAGCAACATTTATTCTGATGCCTTGAAGGACAAAGTAAACAAATATCACATTCCATATAATGTACTTGAAAATCTACTTGAATACATACAAACATGTGTTACAGGAGATATTGCCCTGGTTCTACTATATAGCCAGTTGGTTTGCTCTAGTCCAGTGCTTCCCAAACTTGGGGGTCAACTGATCTTTCCACAGGAGTCTCCTAAGACCATTATAAAAGCACAGATATTTACATTACAATTTATATCAGTAGCAAATTACAGTTATGAAGTAGCAACAAAATAATTTTATGATTGAGGGTCACTACAGCATGAGGAACTGTATTTTTTTATAATTTTTATTTCTTATATTAATCATAGGTTATTTACTTTGTATCCCAGCCATAGCCCCTCCATTATTTCTTCCCAATCCCACCCTCCCTCATCTCCTCCTTGCCCCTTTCCAAGTCTACTGAGAGGGGAGGTCCTCCTCCCCTTCCATCTGACCCTGGCTTATCAGGTATCTTCAGGACTAGCTGCAATGTCCTCCTCTGTGGCCAGGCAAGGCTGCTTCTCCTTTGGCGGCAGGGGGATCGGGGAGTCAAAGAGCCAGCCATTGAGTTCATGTCAGAAATAGTCCCTGTTCCCCTTACTAGGGTACCCACTTGGATATTGAGCTACCTTGGGCTACATCCGAGCAGGGGTTCTAGGTTATATCCATAAATGGTGCTTGTTTGGAGAAACAGTATCATAAAAGATCCCTGTGCCCAGAGGAACTGTATAAAAGTGTCATAGCATTAAGAAGGTTGAGAACCACTGAACTAGTTTTTTCTAACCCATACCAATCCCAATTTCTTATATTGCAAGCTGAAATCCCCGTCTCCTTTTCAGTGCTTATTAACAGTCTCTTTAGTAGCATTACCACCATGTTTTCAGCAGTCTCTCCTTTGCTTAAACAACATTAATCAAGCCAGTTCACTTAATGAGACTTGTGATATAGCTATTAACTTTACATGTATTTTACCTCTTTACTTAGGAAAACATGGGTTGGTTTTCATTTATCCTACAATTTGATCATTTTAAAAATGTGTAACTAGTGACAGTAACTAATGAGGTTTGCAAAAATGCTGAATACAGGAAATGTTCAATATAATTGGTGTTATAGTTCGATCTTTCAAATATGTAGACTATAAATTTTTACTCATAAACACATTTTTTCTGTAGCTACAAACACAGAATTTCTATAGATTCTTCAATTTAATAAATCAATACAAGAAGAAAATAGTCATTAAGGTATGTATTGTATGGTATTCATGACAATATTGAACTTAGGCAATTTTCGTTCTGACTTCTGCAACACCACAGATTGAGGGAACACTGTGAAATTACTTAGCTTGTTTGAGTCACAGTTTCCTCATATGTAAGATGGAATCCTACCTAAGAGGGTAAGTATAAAAAAAACTACATGAGAAACATACGCAGGGAAACTGAAAGTTGTTAATTTCCCATTTCACTCCTATTACCTGGAAAATGGCAAGTGTTTAAAAGATGTTAATAATAAATAAGATCTAAGGTGATATACAATTTAAGATTATCTTTGAAAATAAATTAGTAAGGAAAACTAAACAGCATGATGAGAAATAGATCATTTAAATTGGAAGTGATGGCTGAGTAGGAGTGGCCAAAAGTATATAAGAAAGCGAACATAGACTATGGCTCTAAAAACTAAGTATGTCTAAGGTTCGTACTTACTTATAAATATGTTGATTGATGAAAAACGTATATAAGAAACAAAATGTATTCTTTCATAAGGACATTGAAAAGAAAAGATAAGAAATAACAAAGGTTGTCAAGGGTGTAAAGAAGAGAAAGTGACACACTTTAATAAAGATATAAATTCTCAATGCTCAGACATCAGAACACTAAAAATAGATCTTCACTATGATCCAGATGTCCACACCTGTGTATATATCCAAATAAAATGAATATATTACTTCAAAGAGAAATTGATACTCCCAGGTTTATTGTGGTACTGTTTGTAATACCCAAGATATAGACTCAGCATAGATACTCATTAACAAATCAATAAATGAATATAATGTATTTGTATGTAATGTTTTTTATTTCTACCATAATGAAGAGTGAGATCTTGTCATTTGCATCAAAAAAGAGAATAGAACTAGAAGACAATAATTGAAATAATGTAAAGTAAAATAAGCCAACTACAGAAGAAGCTATACATGTTCATTTGAATATAGAATATTGATTCCGAGAAGCTGGGCAGGCATGAGAAGGTTGGCTAACAGGTAGTAAAACACAATTAGATAAAGGGAATAAAATTCTGGTGTTTCACGGCACAGCATGAAAATTATAGTTCACAGTACCTATTACATGTTTTTGTGGACTTGGAGAGAGGACACAAAGGCTAAAACTATTAATACATTATCAGGAGAAGAAAGTGCCAAGTACTTTGATTTGATCAGTGCACACTGATTATGTAGTGCTGAATATCATACTGTACTCAAACAACATACATAATGATGTATGCTATTAAAAACATGTACAAATGAGTGAGTGTTTTAGGAAAAAATAAAATTTCAATTAATGTTTTTCTTCTAAGTAATTATTTTCTTTTTGTGTAAAATGGCTTTACTAAATAATTTATTTTGTAATATAGTGTCTATAATATTTACAGAATATTCTTATTTCTCTTGCTTTTTAAGTTGAGTATTTCCTTGTTCTTTGTAAACTGCTATTTTCAAACTGATTTTTAAACATAAAATATTTTCTCATGTTGAAATATCTCTGAGACAAGTGTAATGATATGAACTCTCAAATGTACCTTTATTTGCTTAAACAACCATCGTAAACATCTGTATATGCATATATGTGTGTTGAATACATATAACACACATATTAACATATATGTGTGTTGAATACATTCTTTTTATTATAGAGAACAAATATTATGTGAATTTATTACTGCATCTAAACACTGTCCTTGGAAGTGATAAGTGAATAAATAATCTCCCAAATTACATTAATTCTTTTGCCATTTTTGGTAATTGTTATTCTTTTCTTTGAATGCAACCCATCACATTTTGCTTATGATAAAAAATTTACTTCTTTTAATTGGCTGATTCTGATTTATGGTTTGCTGATAAGCCATAGGCACAAGTTAGAGATATGTGTCAACTGCAATCAAAGGAACACTCTCAGCAAACATGGCCTACTCATGGGAGGTGTGGCAGTCACCTGTGAGAAATGCTCAAGAAGATTCAGTTTAATATCACTGGATAGTGATTTCTTCCTACTTCCTGAGTCTCAGCAGCTTTTGATTATGAGAGTGTTCATTGAAGAAGTAAGTATTATGAATACTGCAGATCCGTCATACAAGCTGTATAGTACCTCATTTCTCAAACTTTCTCTTAAAGCAGACTCAGAATCGATTGCCTAATATTCTAGAATCATTTCAAGATTATTTTTATGTAATTGGAACCGAAATTAGCTTATTAATGTTCCATTGTTGACATTCAGTCATAAGAAAATGCAATATCCACATGGATAGGGAATAATTTCACAAGACCCCATCACCAGATGAAACACTACAGACAATGACAATTGGTACTAATGGAAGGAGAGCCAGTGTTTGGGGTTTTTTTGTTTTGTTTTGTTTTGTAGTTTTCCTTTTTAGAGGCATGACTCCAATTCTAAGGAGTCAGCCCTAAACTCATACAAACATAGGACTAACCAATTATTTAGAGAACACATGGGTGGGGGAAAACAAGAGTTGGGAGAAGAATAAGGGGTAGAAAATGCAAATACAATTTACTCATCTAAGAAGTCTTCAAAACATTACTTTTCCAAAAATAAAGAAAAAGGAAAAAATAATTTGTTAGGATGAATTTTCAGCAATTGCTGAGATATAATTGGACTTGTATCCTTGTCAGAATTTAGGCATGTCATTACTAATTCTGGTAAACCTTGGTTACTTTTGCACCATTGCAACCCTTGGAATGTAGTGTGCGTTGCACTTCTTTTGAGGACTTTTGTTAACTTAAACAAAGTAGGTGCTAGATGGTTTATTGGTGAAAATGTCAAAATTACTAACGATATTGTGAAAATATAGAAATTGATGGGTTAATGTGAATTCCTAATAGGCAAATAGTCAGTAATATTGAGGTGCTCAACTAACTAGGAAAGATGTCCTGTTTCCACAGCTCTTCCTACCTCACCTCCCTATCCTTTCTTATCTCAATTTGTGCAAATATTTACCAAAATATTAATAGTAGTTATGTAAGAAACTCATTTCTGAACACCTCTGAGGTGCCAGGATTTCATTTCATCCTTTAAAGTAATAACATTCAGTAATCCCAGGGGAAATGTA